GTAGATACAACCACAAAATTAAGGAAACCCAAAAACATATATGAAAAAAGGTTTACTGAAAATGTAAAAATTTATAGTATGGATTTCTTCAAATACATTAAGTGTAAGCAAAATGCTAGGATGGAAGTAGGGCTTTTGAGAGATGATACAGGAAGGCTAATATCTGATGATTATGGGATGACTGGGTTATTAAATTCTACTTTTCTTAAGAAAAGATTTAAGCAATATTCCTCATCCTGAAGAGTTGCTAGATGGAAACACAACTGAACAAGTTGATCACATTAATTCTGACCTTGTGAAGAAAAATTTGGAAAGTTTAAAGAATGATAAAGTTATAATTTTCCTATACTGAAAATGTATTTTCAATAGGCACTTAGCTCTCCTCACAAGATTAGCTATTCTCGTTCAGTGCTGCCCTCTATATGCAAACTTTTCTTTATGCATGCCACAAGCCTTGTGCTCTCCCAACATGTCTCTCATGCAAATCATCATGCATCATCTCTTAACCAACAGTAGCATGACATGCTCTTGTGACATATGTGACTCCCTCTACTCTATCAGTATAGGAAAATTATAACTTCCGATATGGTACTTACTTCCTCTCACAAGATTAGCTAGCATCCCACACTGAGAAGGAGAAGGGACTGGTGTAAGGTAAGGAAAGAAGTACCCCTGAAAACATCTCAAGGATACCCCTGATAATGAGAGATATAGGTCTGAAGATCAGAAGAGGGTAACCACACCTCTTCTGAGCCAGGTATACACTTTGACCCTGTGTAGATTGTGTAATTCACAAGAATGGAAATTGTGAGGTGTAGAGTGGCTAGGGTGCAGCAGACCATACTTGATAAGTCAGTTACATCCAAAATCTCCTCGCAGGTTACCGACATGCACGTGAGGGTAGGATGAGGATCATACCATCTTCACCTCAAATCCAGAAATCTGAAATTATGACCCGCACTGATTTCTGGGTATACCACGAGGATCATCACTGATCTATCAATCCGGGAACTGACATCCAGTATCGAAAGGATGTCTATTGTGTGGAATCAACTCCCCCAACCACTGCACAGGCTGGCACCACCCAAAGGCAATAGCATTCCCATAAGAATAGAACAAGGGATAGTCAAGAATAGCACCAAAACAATCCCACGTACAACCGCTGTGACAAAAGACACAGATGGAGCAATTGGGGGTGGAAGACAGACAACCCGAACTCGCACAAAAAGTTATGTTGATTGGTTCACTCTAATCCAAAACCTCTATGCTGGGAACCGACTTACATGCGAACATAGGATGAGGTCTCCCATTCAAAGGGGTGAACTGCAATTGCAACGGCTCAACTCTAGTGTTTGTGTAAAATTAAGCGGGAAGCCACCTCATCCCATAAGGTGACAGCTCAACTCCTGTGGTTGTGTAAACCAGAAAGGTGACAGTTCAACTCCTGTGGTTGTGTAAATCAGGAAGGTGACAGCTCAACTCCAGTGGTTGTGTAAGTGGTGTCAGAAACCCATGTCATCCAGTAAGGAGATGGCTAAACTCCAGTTTTGTTATGTAAACCAGGAAGGTGACAGCTCAACTCCAGTGGTTGTGTAAATGGTGTCAGAAGGCCATGTCATCCAGTAAGGAGATGACTAAACTCCAGTTTTGTTATGTAAACAGGATCAGGAGGACATATCAACCAGCAAGGTAATGGCTCAACTCCTCTAGGGGCCACATCACATCTACATCAGCAGAACATCACTAACCTTTTGCTTGGAGAAAACATTCAGGCAGGTGCATCCATGGTCAACCATCCCACAGGCTTGGAACTGGATGTGGTAAGGACTCCCACACTCCACTTGAGGAAAGGAGGGTGATAACGTGGTGGAGAACTTAGAGGAACATCACCATCAGAGACAGTGCAATTTGGAAAAGCAGACCATAATGAGTTTTTCACTCTATGCATGGCAGGGATGGGCAGCAATCTCCTTCTGCTTTATCCATGTAGTCCACGAATGATACAGTCCAGAACAGGCAAATTATCATGAGATAATTACCATCAAGTGATCTCGTGGAATACCCCCTCTTGATAGTGAGTATGTGAAGCCATGGAATAGAGAGTGCGAGTCAACATGACTGACAGTGCAGTTTTGAGTTCAAGAATACCTGGTCAGGCACCACTCGATACAGAGTTGGATCCATGTGATAAAAATGGAGAGAAATGCCCCAGAAAAAAAGAATTAAGAAAATTTACCAGTTAAAGTCATACCAAAGTCTGGAGAAAGGCCACAGGTGGTAGATAAGAAACCCAGATCTAGAGGAAAGTGAGATACGATGAAGATAGTGGGAGATGAACATACTGGGAGTGGTCCACATGCCGGACTGTAGAATCTCCTTCATCGAACAACAAAGACAAGAAGTGATGAAAAGGTGAGATATTAGTTCTTATGGAAGGAA